AGTTTGATTAATATAGACACATGAAATAGGCATCTTGCTTTGACTTCCCGTATTGAATAGACATCACAAGTGATCAAGAAACTACACGCTCAGCTCATTCCTTTTTGGCTTTTTGTTTGGACTTGTACATAATATGAAGAAAAATTGAGAGAAGGCGTGCGGTTGATTCCGTATCAGGCATCTAGAATAATTTTGATAGAGGTAATTTATTAACACAGTTGACGTTAATTAACAATGACGTGAGTTCCGTGGTGATCTAAAAAACATATGCATGCTTCATCTGTGAGAGTGAGACTGTTAATTTTCTTTTGTTTTTCTTTTTTTAAGTGAGTTGAGACTGGTAATTTTCTAAGATCCAATGTATTATTGTTAAGGTGAAAAAATGTATTATCGTTGAGGTGATTGCTACGTGTTAACCAAGCTGGGCTTAACTCGTCAATCAATGCGTCCCTTTGTGCACATTCAATGCCGAATGAACCCCTTCCTGCAATCCTACTTCTTCATTGAGACCGTGTGTTGCCTCCCACAGTGCTTAGCGCACAATTGTTTCAACGAGACTTGAAACTTGAGCAGCCTTTTCTAAGAGAATAATTGGAACAATAATGGTGGCTACGATTACGAAAAAAACGTATTAATGACAAGAGAGCCAATAAGCAATCTTAAAAGAGCACAATGGACCCATGTTCCCCTTTGGGGATTATTGTTACCAATGGTGGAATTCTTATTTTTGCCAAAGCTGTCGTTCCATCGACATTAGTGATAAGATACCTTCCATTAGGAAGGTGTGGCCTTCTCTGCCAACACATACCCAACAGATGATTGTAGGTCCAATATGCTTCGGCGGAGCCGAAGGGCTCGAAATAAGACTTGGAAGTCGTTGAAATGATTTGGCTATCATTCCTTCTGCAAGATTCTCTATGACCCCTCTCTCTCTCTCTATATATATATATATACACATATTTTGTGCTATCTTCCTTCTGCTCTCTCTGTTCATCATATTCCCATATCTGTGACCTTTTATCTGCTGGTAGAGTCGAATAAGCTCTGTATCTGTTGATATATCCAGAGCTGACTATTTATTGTTACTGTGTTATATTTAGCGTTCTCTAACATGACAGATTGTTGACACTTTTTGGCACAAATAAGAAGAATTTGAGGATGCCGGAACGAAATTTCCATCATTACGCATTTCTGCAAATATACAGGACACATCTTCTTGTAGTTCAGTTGTCCGCATATGTGGCGCCTAACCTTGGGGTTAGGGAGTCTGAGAGCCGTTCGGGTGAGCTGAACACGCGACCCTCATGGTACTGCTGGATTTGACATGTTTGCCTTCCAGACAAATTATTTATTGTCACAAAATTAAGTTAGGTACATGTATAATGGTGTCGATAGAGATAATTCGTTGACGGAGTCAACATTAAGTAAAGATGAGTTACGTGGTGGTGATCTAGCTAAGATCCATGCCTCCTGCTCGATACTGGTTATCTGGTTACTATTTTCTAAGATTCAATGTATCATTGTTGAGTTGATTAGTGTGCTTCACTCTTCAATAATTCACATGGACCATCTAATTAATACTACTAATACCATATCATATTACGAGCGAAATGGTGCATTTCTTTTCCTTTTTGGTACAACTTAACTTGCATGAGTTCAGTTTTCTAGGGAGATAACATAACGAAAACAATGGTAAAATATGGAATACACCCTGCGCTGGTGTTTAGCTTAGTGCAATGTAAAATATCTAATTTTTGGTCATAATGATTATGCATTATATTAATTATACCGTATGTATAACACTTAGACTGAAATTACCGTAATTTTTTATATATATACACATGCATATACTTCTCTCCTTATTATTTTATTGATTTATTCTTTTATAATTTTAAGGAACGAACTAAGATGTGTGTTATTTTCCTCTTAGTTGATGTCATTTGTTTAATTTTCTCATATCTCACTTAACACTTTTTGTGCTTTTAATAGCGTCCGCTCGAGTCCGCATTCCGTACTCAGCACTCAAAAGTACTGAGTAGCGTGGGAACTTAGAGCTCGTTTGGTTCAATTCTATTGTAGTCATGTAATGGCAATTAACATTACATTATTAAGAAACGAATGTTTGGTTGCTCTTTAATTTGGTAATAGGATTTACCATGGTAATGATAATTATCAAAAAATTAGTAATCCTCATTCATATCTCCCCCCATATGAACACTCATTACCATCCATTACATATTTGAAAAAGTCACATTTGCCCTCTATTTGTTTCGATGGTCTCCTTTGTTCTTTATCACCCACCCTCCGTTGCAGTCGACCGCCGTGAATGTTGTTGCACCCAGCACCCACCACGATGCTGACCATTGTGAACACCTCCGCCACACCAAGCACCCACTGCCGCTGATGACCTGACCACCACGAACGCCGTCGTACTTGACACCGAGCAGCACCACTGTCTCTGCCCGATTTCTGTCCCTGTGCTTTGCATTCTTCATGACCTCCGGTTTATTCTCCTCTTGCTATATCATCAGCCTCCAGCATCCTTCCTTCAAAAATCTCATATATCTGCCTTCCCATGCCATCCAATGATGATCTTATCTCTACATTCTTCGATCTGCGTGTTGTTTGGGTTTTCAGATCTAATTCTTTTTCTATTTCATATCCTTTCATTCCATATCTGTTTTTTTATTTCCCTCATCTTCTTTGATTCAGATCTCTCTTGCTTTATAAACAGTATCTTTCATTTGGGTTGATGAAGATGTAAAAATTTTGATGATGATGATGACAGTGGCCTTATTTTCATAGATGATTTTATCATTGGCTTTAATGGTTTGAGTCCGTTATGATAATGAATTCAATAGCTAGTGAAATGAAGGATTGCTCTGTGTATTTTATCGACATTCTTGTCGAGGAAGAAGAAACGTTTGGGAAAGGAAGGATTGTTTTTTGGTCAAGGAATAAAAGGGTCATTTCATAAATTTTATTTGTTTTATTGAAAATAATAAATATCATCTACCATGTTTTCTTTATAATATACCAAACAGATCATCAGTAATCAAAATTGCATTACAATCTACTATATTACACTGTAGTGTGTTGTAAAAGCAAACTACAATTGAACTAAACGGGCCCTTAGTTCCCCCCTTTCCCTCTTTACCTTCTAAAAAGGAATATATGCACTAAAATTATTTTTTATTTAAGTTTTATTAAATATTTTAAAAATATTTTTTTCACGTGTATTCATTATCCTAAAACCTTGTGTTTCATCTAATACACTAAGATATTTTTTTAGATGTTTCCCATATTTAAAAATATTTTTGATACAATTATCCAACGCCTTCAATTATTTTTTTTATTCATCTGTCATTTAAAAATATTTTTTTAAATACATCTAGTATTTTAAAATATTTTGTGATTTATTTAATGTTCTAAAATATTGAGTGCTGGGTGGAATTTAATTCAAAAATAATTTTAATATATATTACTTTTAATCCTTAATATAAGAGCTAGTTAACTAATTTGAGTAGATTAAGAAAACTAATTATATTAGTTATTTATAATAAATATGTGTCGTCTTTTTTAAAATATCCTTATTAATCAAGTGTATTAACTAAAATTATCATTATTATAATTATTATTTTAAAAAAAATAAATAAATATGAGAGATAAAATAAATTAGAATATTATACTTATGATTAAAAAAAATTAAACAAGTTTTTTTAATTTTTTGTGATCAACAAGAAGGGAAAAAGAGGAGGGGGAAAAAACTAAAGCCCCACAAACGCCGTGCTGATCAGGCTTATCACCACGGAATGCGGACGCGCGTCAGCTCTGCTGTGGGCACTTCTATTCTCTCCTATCAATCCAATTCATTTTGCAACGTCAAAATAATGGCCAGCGCCCACACACGCTCTCCTTTATGTACAGTTGTACACACAGTTGGCTGACCACGACATACCTCGTCTCATGTGGATAGAGGCACGCACGGCCCTTCCCCCTCCCTCCCCCCTCTCAACCTCTGATTCTAAACCTCACTCTCTATGGTGGCTATACCCAACATCTTCGCCGTCCTTCTCCCCATTATACTTGATTTATTTAATTTAAGTTGATTAAAAAAATTAATTAAGTTAGTTACTTATAATAAATAAGTATTATTTTTTAAAAAAATATTTTTACTAATCAAATATATTGGCTAGAACTATTATTATTATAAGAACTATAGTAAAAAAAATAAAAAATAAACATGACAGACAAAATGAATTAGGATATTATATTTAAGATTAAAATAAAAACAAGTTAATATAATCACTATACAAAGAGGTGTGGTCGTCCACTGATTTGCAGCAGACCAAAAGAATGAAAAATCAGCCTCACATGTGAACGGTCATTACTTATCCTTATCCCTGTTACCCGCAAATGTACAGATATCCTATTTTCTATTTTTCTCCGACGCTAATTCTAAAGCACACTCTCTTTCATGGCTATACCCAATGTCTTCACCTCCCTTCTCTTGCTTCCTGTCATTTGGTTTTACTTTGAGTTTTTTTATTACAATATTATATTTGAAACAAAAATATAGGATATTATATTTATGACTAAAATAAAAATCAAACAAACTCTTAACTCTTTTATTAAAGATATTAAAAATAAGAGGTGTAGTATTTTTTTTTTTATGATGAAGAAGAAGAAGGAAAAAGGAGGCCTAAGGTCCCACAAACGCCGTGCTGATCAGGCTGATGACTACAAAATGCAGACGCGTGTCAGCTCTGCTGTGAGCATTTCTATTCTCTCCTATTAATCCAAGTCATTTTTCAACGTCAAAATAACGACCAACGCCTCACACACACTTTATAAACCAATCCCAACGTGGTCTCTGGCCAACATATATTCACACAGTTGGCTTGCTACGTTGCACCTCGTCTCATGTTGATTGACGGACAAACGCCCCCTTCCTCCCTCTCTCTTCTCCTAATTTCTGATTCCAAAGCTCACTCTCTTTCATGGCTATACCCAATATCTTCACCGTCCTTCTCTTGCTTCCTCTTCATTTGGCTTTTGGAAACTCAACTTTGAATTTAACTCTCTACGCCAGTGATCATAACTCTTCATGGCTCTCACCGTCCAAAGAATTTGCTTTTGGATTTCACCCAATCAACAACAGCACAAGGCTCTTCTTGCTTGCCATCTGGTTCGACAAAATACCTGCCAAGACTGTTGTCTGGAGTGCAGACATCGCAGATCCAGTACCACTGGGATCGAGGGTTCACCTCACATCAACGGGTCTCACACTTACTAACCCCCAAGGTCAAGTGATGTGGGCAATCAAACCAGAAGAAGATGTGTCCTATGGAGCAGTGCTTGATACCGGAAATTTTGTTCTGGCATCCTCCAGCTCTTATTTGTGGCAAAGTTTTGACAATCCTATTGATACGCTCTTACCTGCACAAACTTTGGATGTGAACAGTAAGTTATCTTCTCGATTGTCGTCGGTCAATTACACAAAGGGAAGATTTGAGCTTTATTTTGATAGTGGAAATCTCTCCTTAAGTCAAATTGGGTGGCCATCTGAATCTCATTACGACAAATATTTGAGTATTGGCACGAGTTCTAATGACTCTGCCTCACAACTAGTCTTCAATTCGTCGGGATATATTTATGTGAAGACAAAGAGTGGAGATCAAAAAGCTCTTGGGTTGAGTAATTCCAGTCTTTCTGTTGGAAGATATTATTACAGGGCTACACTTGATCCTTATGGAGTCTTCTCGTTGTATTCCCATCCCAAGGAACCCAGTGAAGATCAAGTTTGGTCAATTGAGGGGTACGTTCCTGATAACATTTGTACTGCGATATTTAGTGATTTGGGTGGTGGTTGTTGTGGCTATAATAGCTACTGCTCTTGGGATGACAACAACAAGAGACCAAATTGTACCTGTCCAAAAGGATATTTCTTGGTAGATCCAAATGACAAATTCGGAGGATGCCAACCAGGTTTCTCGCTTGGTTGTGGAGCTGATGATGCTCGATCACGAGAAAATCCAGAAGAGGTATACCGTATGGAGCCTTTGCAAAGTGTGAATTGGCCTCTTGGAGATTATGAAAGGTTGATCAATTTTACCCAGGATGAATGTATAAAATCTTGCTTGCATGATTGTAATTGTGCAGTTGCTATCACTGGAAAGGATTGTTGGAAGAAAAATTTACCCGTTTCTAACGGAAGATTATCTCTAAGTAAGGTTGAAACAATGGCATTCTTGAAAATAAGAATTCAACCACTGGGTAATCTTAATCCTTCTCTGCAAAAGGAATATCAGGTCCAACCTGCTTTGTTAGGGTCGCTTATTGGCTCCCTTGTTCTTAGTACTCTATTGGTAGCCGCTTTGGTTTTGATTATTCTCTTAAAGCCGAAAAAGACCACTCGTGTTACAAGCCTTGTCGAAACAAATATGCATTCTTTCTCATACAAAGTACTGAAGGAGGCAACAAATGAGTTCAACGAAGAAGTAGGAAGAGGTTCCTTTGGCATTGTGTACAAAGGCGTCCTCAGATCAGTAACAAAAACTGTTGTCGCAGTGAAAAGATTGGATAGATTGTCTCAAGAACGAGAAAAGGAATTTAGGAATGAGTTGAGAGCCATTGGAAACACATGCCACAAAAATCTGGTTCGGCTGATTGGGTTCTGTGATGAGGGAGTTCATAGACTTTTGGTGTACGAGTTCATGAGCAATGGTACTCTTGCTGATATTCTCTTTGGAAAATCCAAACCCGACTGGAATTTAAGGGTTAACTTTGCTTTGGAAATTGCAAGAGGTTTGCTTTACTTACATGAAGAGTGCGACACTCCTGTCATCCATTGCGATATTAAACCTCAAAATATACTGATAGATGCACATCTGAGGGCAAAAATCTCAGATTTGGGCTAGCCAGTTGTTATCTTTCGATCAGAGTCGAACCCAGAC